CCTTTACGATACATAGTACTCACTTTTTTCCTGTAAATTAAGTTGCCAAATCCTCATGTGAAATTTTTCGTTGTAAAATTATGATCTCTTTAATGTAACATGATAAAATAAAACCTGTTATTAATACTCAACAATATTGTAGACATAATGATCTAATACAAAAATGGCCATAACTATGCAAAGAAAAATAATACGTGACGAGCTTTGACAGTTTTCTTTAAGAGTGAGAGAATCCTGTACTGTGTAATGTAATCAGAAAAAAGAGCAACATTCTGTACGTAACCTCCTTAAAAGTAATCGAAAAAAACCATTTTCTGAGTAAACAACCTCAAACATCGCAAAATACCGATGTGATGGGCCAATTCTAACTTCTGAGCAAAAATGTACTATAACGTTGACTGCCAGCTAGCCAACGATAAAACTTTTTAGACCTGCGTAGTACTATATTACACGACGAACATAGAATGCGTATAAATCAAGGACGTACCAAATGTATCCTTCCTTTTACGATCATCGATCGAATAAAATTCATTCAGCTCGCATGTGCGTAATATATTCCGAAATAAAAACGGCGAAAATTTTCCTGCCCATTCGCCTTGTATCCAATATCGGAGATACTACCTACGTTTCGAGAGACTGTTTTATGAAAAACGTGATCAAATCTACTTTAGTAACAATCGAAGGATCTCGAGTCTTGCGAGCGAATCGAGAAATTTGAAATAAAGAAACTCCCCCGTCTCTTTTTTCATCTTACGTCACGTTGTATTATTTTTTTTATTGCCATAGAACAGTTTTTCTCTTTCTTCGACTCGAATATGATGAAAAACCCGTTCTTGACTTTTGCAAAATTTTTTCGAACGAAATGCCATTATGGAGTTCTACTTTTAAATTCTAATAATAAAAACGCCAAACCTTTATTAGATTATCATCAATATCAATCACAAATACTGTTACATGATTATGACAACCCGAATTTTTCGTGATTTTACCTACCTTTCTTGTTCCATGTATCAAAATGAACCGACGATCAACTTTACAGGAAAAAGAGAAAATAACACTTTTAACACACGGGCAGTCTAGTTTTACGCGGCTGTAACCGTAAAAAGTAACTACACGCATTTTGAAAATAATAGAGGCGAATATAAATCCTGTTTAAGATGGTTTGGGTTTCACGATAAACTTTGACATCTTTTTTCACGTGTAACACACATACACATTTCCATCGTAAATTAGAAATATTAATATAACTTTAAATAAATTTTTCATGGGGTTGTCATTGGAATGGAGTTTAATTGAATTTAGTGCTTTTAATCACATTTACTCGGAAGTGTGAGTCAATCAATGTCAGAACACTATCCCTGTAAATTTACAAAAACTTCATGAAGATGGTAAGTCAAGTTTTAATCTAGTATCTCTGTATTTGCATTTCGTGAAATTCATCCAAATGACATTTATAAAATACTTTAAAAATACATTAGGCTGGTGAATTTAATTTCGCTATGATTTTCATCATTAAGTCTCTTTCAATGCAAATCAACATGATTTTTTACAATTTTTGTTTTCAATGTTTATAAATGAATTAAACTCTTGAAAAACTTCTGCTACATCAACTTTCATGGAATATAATTTCTGCAACCTACTGACACACTTTCTTATTTACGTAACGCACGCGACAAGGCGAGTCGCATCAACATCGACCATCATTTCCCTCTCATTTCTTATTCTCATTTTTATATTCTCATTCATGCTCCTCTAAAACTCAAGGCATCCTTTTTTTTTCCATTATTCCTACAAACTCCCACCATAGAGTTAAAACCTCGCCAGTTGCAATAAAATCCCTCATCAACGACTGCACCATCTAAAACACACACATATAAAAACAACCTTCTATCTCGAGAAAACTACCTGAATGCTTCATTCTGCAAAAAAGAGCACCCCTAGAGCAGAAAACCCCTCGCGTGAAAGAAAACGTCCGACCTTCCTCTTGAAGAAAAATAAATTCCCCTGCGAACAACCATGCAACGCAGGAGCTAGAATTTGGAAAACCTGCCACTGCCACACAATACAGCCCTCCTACTTTTCTTCTTCTAGCGAGAAAACACGGAAATCCGATTATCGAGACTTCAACATAAGGAGGATGACGGGAAACTCGGCGCATCGCGCGCGGCCGAGTCCTCATATCGATTTGGGGCTACTGCTGCACGAGTCCGGCTTCTCCTTCTTCTTTCCAGCATGAATTATAGAGCTGTAGGGAAAAGGGGGTAGGGGCATTAGGCGATCTTCTTCCCTTGGCGCGCAATAACCCGAGTATACGAGGGAAAAAAGTTTTACGAGCACGAGAGAGAGAGAGAGAGAGAGAGAGAGAGAAGGTCTTGAAATACTTTACGAGCGTATCGTATAGGCTTCTTATCCTTTGATTTTTTTAAATATTCTTAATTATAACTTGTTATTATTTTGATCTAGAATTGAATAAAACAGTTCTCAGTCAGAATATTTTACTTTAAACCTAAAATCGTACAATCTATAAACTTAAGTAGATACAGACGAGTAAGGTAAGACGAGCCACGGATATACGCACGGAGAATGTGAAGTGATTTAATCTGATCTATATTTAAAATATTATGGTTATTCAATTTGTAAGAATGACAAGAACTAAATAAATTATATTGTTACCCTTAATAGGCGTTTAAAAAAAATTTAGTTCATCAAATCAGCACGCAGAAATCGTACAAAAGCTCACGGTTAAAAATTTAAATTTTAAAACACTTTTGAAAAAATCCCTAAACATCTACGAACGAAACATCCTTCGCAAGTACCCTTGAATAAAATTTGAATGTCCACACGACATCAAAAGCGCCAAATTCCCCACTCAAATCCAAAAGACAACCCTCCAAGCTCCACTTCACCCGAGAAAACAGCTTTCTGATCGTATCCTTCTCGATAAGACAGCTTCTCTCAAAGAATAAACGCCCTCCATCTCGAGCCATTAGACTTTTGAAAATAATGACAGCAGCAGCAGCAGTGGTGGTTGCGCTCAATACATTATACATACCAGAGCAGCCTCGGCTGAGCCAATTACTTTTTATCCGCGCTCACAACTTTTCCGATACTACGCTTTGCCATCGAGAAAAAGAAGCAGAGTATAGGCTAAAAGTTCGCGCATCGTTCCAAACGCACGTAAGTACGCGCTCTTTGCCAATATACTCCCTGAAGAGTGCTCTCCGACACGGAATAAAAACTTCCTCCCCGCTGACACCGTTCGAGGCTCTCGAGTTCGGCTTAGCGTACTGTTGCAGCTTTTCGCACGAAACACAGAGTTTTCCAGCAATTCCACATAATGCGCCTTGCGTGCGGCAGGTATTATAGTACAAGTGAGGCTCTAGTGGAGTGGGGAAAATTTTAGATAAAGTAGGCCACGAAAAAAAAAGAAGACGCGCGTCTTCTTTTTGGTGTCAGTAGTGAGAGAAGAGCCTACTGCTCTGTATTTCTCGAGGCGTGAGACAATCGAAACTATACCTAATACAAAATGACACAGCCACGGTAAGGCGCACTTCTACTTCTACGCTCCTCCTTCGAGTGCACGCTCCGTCATCGATTGCTGAGACGTGGGGGAGAACACCCTCTGGATTGATAATTGAATGCAGCGCAGCGACACCCGCGGGTGTTGTATTGTTTGCGAGTCCGCGTTCATTAATTGTTAGTCGTTTCTCTTGTAGCGTTGTTGAGTTATGTACACATTCTATGCGCGAAAAGCACATTTTGTTTGTACTTCTGATTACGCTGATGAGTATGCCTATATCAAGGTCGTGCAGCTTGTCAACACTTGGGACGGTTTTCCGTTCCGAATACACGTGCAATAATAAAACCATTGTCAGTGAGTATCGCAAGATGTAACAAGCCAGTTGTTGTTGGTCATTATTCTCGTTTGACTTTCGACACCTGCGTTTTTGGAAGATAAATCAACAAGGAAGTTCGTGCTTAATCTTACTAGCGTAATGAATGCACGTTTCAACAGGGCTTATTCGGTCTGTTTGGAAGTTCGCGAGGGTAGTTGGCAACTTTGACTCTAATTCAAATTCTGGAATCCCACGACGTGCGTTATCAGCGACAACTTACTTACTAGTGCGGAAATATTATCATCCTGGGGTGAAAAAGAAAAAAAAACTTTTTTATTAATTCAACGACTTTTATCGAACTGTCTGATTAAAATAAAATTTTTAAAAATGTGTAGGGACGGATGTATTGTTTCAGAGCATCCTACTGATTAATCATTGAAGGATCGACGTACTGGGAAAAATATTAAACAAACATTGAACGAAAGGGAAAAAACAGCATAAAAAAAACAAAACAATAGCCTGAAAACCCAATCAACTGTTCAGAAGTAATGTATATTTTTTTTCCGCCCTGTTATGTACACGTTACAATGATTGGCTGTACAGATGTATGAGGAATTTCTGGGAATAAAACTTTTTTTTAAACTTATACTTCTAGAATGAATATGTTAAATTTTTTCAAGCATTGAAAATGTTAAAACACCTGTAAATCGTAATGAATTAAGGAATACTCTTTTTTAAGCGCTTTAAGCTTTTTCAAAAATATTTTTCTTTCTTTTGACTCTCGAGTGAAATAGTATTTTAAGCTCATTCCAACAGATTAAATGTTGCTACGCTGCTAGTCGTACTTCTTCGAGTGAAAAATTATTAAGGCTTTGAAAAATGGCGTTTTTCTCTCGAAGCTTTGAAATCATCGTTGTATAAAAAGTATACAACATTTTTCATCTTGAAATCTGGGAGAACAATAAACCCTCCACTACTATGGCGTAAAATTTCCAAAAAATCCTAAGATGGGGCAGGACGAAAACAAATGACTTTTCTCACACACCCAATAGCAAAAAGTACCTCTGTATGCCCTTCCCCGTAAAGTAAAAAAAAAGAAAAAGAAAATACATTTAAATCTCAGGGATCCAAAAACGAGTAAATATGTGGGAAAAAAAAACTCACCAGCACGTAGAGCTCGAATCCAGTCGGCGCGATCCTGTTCCCTCGCAGCGACGAGGTACAGCGTGTACTCTTGCCCAGCCTCTCGATAGCCGACCTGAAAGGGCAGCCCCGGCGGCACGCCCCCGCCGCCGCCGACGCTCGAGTCGTTGTTGCCGGCCACCTCGGTCGCGCTCACGCCCAGGCTCGCCTTCTCCACCACGTGGACGCTCTCCACCTCGATGCGTCCTCGTTCCTTGCGTCGCTGCAACACACACGTGCTCTGCTGTTGTTGTTCGTACACATAAACCATATATTATTTGTCTCGCTCACTACTTTCATCCATCTCTTAAAACAATGGTGTATTTACACGTTACTTTTTTTTTTTTTTTTTTTTTACAAATAGTGATGCATCAAGCGGGTTATTAATAAACGAAAGGAGCTTTGGCACACATGTGCGCATCATAAATATTATATATACATGGTGAGGAAGAAAAAGCTTTTGACGGGTGGTGCTGGCTTTACTCTCTTTCGGCGTGCAAGAATGTCACTGCATGCATGTGTACGTATGTATGTACGTATGTATGTATGTATGTTGTGAAAGACCCGGGGGAGTCAGAGGGGGAGGGAGGGGTTTGAGGCTTTTCTTTTTCGTGTATGCTCGTTTGCGCGCTTTGTGCGAGAGCAGCGCGTGGTTCGTGGATTAGAGGTACAGGCAGTGTGACGTCGCGGAGTTGTGCTATTTCCTTCTTATTATTCTTCCGGGAGGTAAGGGGAATTGTTTTAAAACGTCAAATTCGGGCGCGAGTTTTGCAAATACTTTCTGTTTTCTTGAGGCATTTTTTTTTTTGTTTTTGTTGACCAGGGTGAAATTGTACGTGTGCTTCCTAAAGCTTTTGTACGCTTCAGCAAGACGAAGCTTTTTTTCGAACAAAGCTACAGCTGCTGTGGAAAACCCTTTTATCGAGGTGCGTCATGTTTATTCTAGGGTTTTTTTTTTGTTATCTACAATCTTTTTACGGACGGAAAGAGAATGCACTTTATGTAAAAAGGTAGTTACCAGCAATGATTAACAGAGCTCTACAATAAATGGGGTCATGATTGATTGTTGTTCAGTAGCTGGGGATCGTTTTCTAAATCATTTTTGGGTTATTGTATACCCGAAAAATCAATATATGATCTACTCATATGTCATTTACAGGATTCACACAATTTTTGTTGCCCTTTTCTTCTCCCTTTACGATACATAGTACTCACTTTTTTCCTGTAAATTAAGTTGCCAAATCCTCATGTGAAATTTTTCGTTGTAAAATTATGATCTCTTTAATGTAACATGATAAAATAAAACCTGTTATTAATACTCAACAATATTGTAGACATAATGATCTAATACAAAAATGGCCATAACTATGCAAAGAAAAATAATACGTGACGAGCTTTGACAGTTTTCTTTAAGAGTGAGAGAATCCTGTACTGTGTAATGTAATCAGAAAAAAGAGCAACATTCTGTACGTAACCTCCTTAAAAGTAATCGAAAAAAACCATTTTCTGAGTAAACAACCTCAAACATCGCAAAATACCGATGTGATGGGCCAATTCTAACTTCTGAGCAAAAATGTACTATAACGTTGACTGCCAGCTAGCCAACGATAAAACTTTTTAGACCTGCGTAGTACTATATTACACGACGAACATAGAATGCGTATAAATCAAGGACGTACCAAATGTATCCTTCCTTTTACGATCATCGATCGAATAAAATTCATTCAGCTCGCATGTGCGTAATATATTCCGAAATAAAAACGGCGAAAATTTTCCTGCCCATTCGCCTTGTATCCAATATCGGAGATACTACCTACGTTTCGAGAGACTGTTTTATGAAAAACGTGATCAAATCTACTTTAGTAACAATCGAAGGATCTCGAGTCTTGCGAGCGAATCGAGAAATTTGAAATAAAGAAACTCCCCCGTCTCTTTTTTCATCTTACGTCACGTTGTATTATTTTTTTTATTGCCATAGAACAGTTTTTCTCTTTCTTCGACTCGAATATGATGAAAAACCCGTTCTTGACTTTTGCAAAATTTTTTCGAACGAAATGCCATTATGGAGTTCTACTTTTAAATTCTAATAATAAAAACGCCAAACCTTTATTAGATTATCATCAATATCAATCACAAATACTGTTACATGATTATGACAACCCGAATTTTTCGTGATTTTACCTACCTTTCTTGTTCCATGTATCAAAATGAACCGACGATCAACTTTACAGGAAAAAGAGAAAATAACACTTTTAACACACGGGCAGTCTAGTTTTACGCGGCTGTAACCGTAAAAAGTAACTACACGCATTTTGAAAATAATAGAGGCGAATATAAATCCTGTTTAAGATGGTTTGGGTTTCACGATAAACTTTGACATCTTTTTTCACGTGTAACACACATACACATTTCCATCGTAAATTAGAAATATTAATATAACTTTAAATAAATTTTTCATGGGGTTGTCATTGGAATGGAGTTTAATTGAATTTAGTGCTTTTAATCACATTTACTCGGAAGTGTGAGTCAATCAATGTCAGAACACTATCCCTGTAAATTTACAAAAACTTCATGAAGATGGTAAGTCAAGTTTTAATCTAGTATCTCTGTATTTGCATTTCGTGAAATTCATCCAAATGACATTTATAAAATACTTTAAAAATACATTAGGCTGGTGAATTTAATTTCGCTATGATTTTCATCATTAAGTCTCTTTCAATGCAAATCAACATGATTTTTTACAATTTTTGTTTTCAATGTTTATAAATGAATTAAACTCTTGAAAAACTTCTGCTACATCAACTTTCATGGAATATAATTTCTGCAACCTACTGACACACTTTCTTATTTACGTAACGCACGCGACAAGGCGAGTCGCATCAACATCGACCATCATTTCCCTCTCATTTCTTATTCTCATTTTTATATTCTCATTCATGCTCCTCTAAAACTCAAGGCATCCTTTTTTTTTCCATTATTCCTACAAACTCCCACCATAGAGTTAAAACCTCGCCAGTTGCAATAAAATCCCTCATCAACGACTGCACCATCTAAAACACACACATATAAAAACAACCTTCTATCTCGAGAAAACTACCTGAATGCTTCATTCTGCAAAAAAGAGCACCCCTAGAGCAGAAAACCCCTCGCGTGAAAGAAAACGTCCGACCTTCCTCTTGAAGAAAAATAAATTCCCCTGCGAACAACCATGCAACGCAGGAGCTAGAATTTGGAAAACCTGCCACTGCCACACAATACAGCCCTCCTACTTTTCTTCTTCTAGCGAGAAAACACGGAAATCCGATTATCGAGACTTCAACATAAGGAGGATGACGGGAAACTCGGCGCATCGCGCGCGGCCGAGTCCTCATATCGATTTGGGGCTACTGCTGCACGAGTCCGGCTTCTCCTTCTTCTTTCCAGCATGAATTATAGAGCTGTAGGGAAAAGGGGGTAGGGGCATTAGGCGATCTTCTTCCCTTGGCGCGCAATAACCCGAGTATACGAGGGAAAAAAGTTTTACGAGCACGAGAGAGAGAGAGAGAGAGAGAGAGAGAGAAGGTCTTGAAATACTTTACGAGCGTATCGTATAGGCTTCTTATCCTCGTTAGACTAGCTCCTCCGCTCTTCATCTTCTCTCTGCTCGAGACGTGATTCTCGAGGGCTATTACCTTTTACGCCGATATATGTGTGTATGGGCGAGCGCAGGATCTTAGTATCAAGGCATAATTTACCGTTTATTAAAAAGTTGGGGGTGATTTTTGCCGTTTCGAGGGTGGAATGGGTAAGAGGCTCTGGAGTTGAACTAATTAATTTTATTCAAATGCACGTTACTACAATGCTAATACAATTCAAAATGTTTGCAACATGTATCGCAGTTAATGTCCAGTTTTATGGAATCGCACGTTAACAGTAAAATTTGATGAATGAAGGCCACAGCGTGAAATAAAAGATTAGTGTAATTTTTCATTTGTGACCAAAAAATATCAACACGTGTTTTAGAAAAAAAAAAAGTCAAGTATGGTAGAAATGCTCATTTATTAACCTATTTTTTAAGTACTTTTTAAAAACTTTTTATACGAGTGAAACATTGAACACACTTGTATCTACAGTATGTATAACTATACATGTATTTTCACTCTAACTTTATGAATAAATTAGTGTTAATTCAATTGATTAATGCAAATATACACGACACGTACTTTAATATAATTGTTTTAAAGAAAACTCTCGTCTTCAAATATTCACTCAGCCACTTTTGATATCTAGTACATCTATGCATGCTTATACCTTACAGAACGACATTGAAGTGATGTTAAATAAATTAAGTGCTCAATACACTTGTAAATTTATCAATTAAATTAAAATTCATTTACGGTAACTTGATATAAGCCGCAAATAACGCTATTATTTAATGGATTGCAATACTGTAAGTGATTACAACGGACGTGAGTGGGCCAGACTCGGTAAGTAGTAAAGACACGGTATAGTCAGACGCGCAGCAGACTTTTATGTTTCCCTGCTTTGCGTGATCCTCCAACTTTATGTATAAGTACACGAAAGCAGAGATATTTTGTTGTATAAAATTCATTACTTTCTGAAAGTTTCTTACAATTGTAAAAAATTTTATTGAATTTTTCACTGTAAAGCGGTAGGCAGTAATTATAGGTTTGTGCTCGTAATATAAAAAAAAATAATAATAAGAAAATCATATCAGGCAGTTCACTGAAAAAACAAAAACGTAAAAAAAAGGAAAAAAAAGATTAACCACCCGATTTTTCTACAACGATCATTCTCGCGACCCCATTTTTCGCTCTAATATTTCCTTTTCCCGCTCTCACGTCCTTTTTTTACAGCTCCCAATACGGCTACGAAAAAAAAAGTAGCCAACGATATCGTAGGTACAAGGTATACACCTTCCGTTGTATTAAAACCCCCGAGCGGTCGCACACGCCATGAGTCCCGCGCTTACTCTAATTAAGCGTCGAGCGGTTCTCTCGTTTCGGTCCACTTTTTTTCGCCCCTTTACTCGACTGAAACGCTAATTTTTTCGTTGGTAAAAAAAAAACCTTACCAGGATCGGCCGATCAGGGCTCTCGTACGGTCGTTCGGTTGGAAAATAAAAACGCCTGCGGTTTCGCACTTATTGAATAATTATATATCAAAGCCAAAGGAAAAAGATTCGCCCCCTCCCCTTGAATTTGGATTACTATTTTAATTAAA